AACATTCTAAAAAAATTAATTCACTCCATTTCCTAATGTCAACAGGTGTTTTAGAAAATTATATGGTGCAAATTCACATCCAGATCTGCAAATTTGCTTAAAAAGCCTAATTATTTCTATGGCCACACCATTGACATGTAGCAGCTTTTGATGAAATCATTTTCTTTTAGATATATTGTTTCCAGACACATGGGCTAACAGTGGCAAAACCATTACTTCTTTCCATCCTACAAGCCTGGTGTTCCACAAAGAAAGCCATCAAACACATAGAGCTCGACCCCATATACACTCCATTGCGAAGGAAAACCGGAAGTGAGGTAATCCAGCTCAACGGAGTGAGTTTAAATAAACAGGCGGGAAAACACAATGGCACTTCATCAGAGGCTGCACTGATGAGGTTACCCAGCAAGGTAATGAAACATCTGCGGAACAAACCAGCTCGGCGACCCAACCAACCACAAGATGTGGAAGAGGTTTAAGGAACAGTGGAGAAATTTCAATGGGGACAGCAGTGACTCTTTTAGTGGGAGAAATGCTATGTCCACTTCCTCAATTGTAGGGTTGAGGGTAATAGGGGTTACAGAGAGAAGGCACACACTGTGAGTGGATGGTCAAAGATTGGGAATTGAGGATTACTCTGTTTAATAGTGTAACTGGTCATTTTCAGAGGCTGAATGAAGTTCATATACAATTGGTGGAGTTTTGAGTGTGGACAATGGGAGGAGTGAGACATCTCACTGCAATTCAGCTGTATGGATGAGACCCAGAGGTGCAGGTTCTCTTGTCACTGTTTGCCTGTGCATGGTCAGGAAGGAGAGATCATAGTCTGAGCAAGATACAGCCCAGATGAGTACACCATACTTTTAATTAACCAGCACCTCCTGCAATTTTTGTTTTTGTTTTGGATTTCCAGCATCCACAGTCCTTTAGGATTTTTTGTGTCTCATAAACGCAGTCTTCCTATAACTTCAGGAGCAGAATGAGAAAAAGTAACAAGGGAAGCTCTGGGCAGTCAATAGCCACGGCCTTGAGATCAACAGCAGCCAGCACTAGATGGAGTGGCTGATTAGGATGCAAACATCTGAAGAAGGCATAGAGAAAGGTCAATGGTGCAGCATCGAGTCTTTATGTCAGATTTCCAGCATTGCTTCATTTATAGGAAAGTGCAACATTCCCCCTCAAAGGAGCATAAAAGGGTAAACCTCCCTAAGTGGATATACATGCATATGAGGCTTTTCTGGCCATGACCATCACTCTGTATGGGGATTGTAACAGTTTACAAACTTTGGAACTTCCAACCAAACTTAAAGGCTGTGGTAAATGCTAATAATTTTGTAATTTTTAAATTCCTTCGTGGGATGAGTACCTTGCTGGCAAGACCAGCAGGGGTAGTCTATCCCTAGATGTCCTTGAGAATGTGATGGTGATTACAATATAGTACAAGTATTAGCAAGATGTAGCAATATTACATGGATCTGATCCATGCTGCATTTGACATAGATATAGAGATTAGGAATATTAGATACCAAAATAGGAAAAAAAAAACATTTTACCTCTCTCATTTAGTACTACAAACCTCCAATACTAACCACGTTGATATGTCTCATCTGGTAAGGTTCTGCTCCTTCAAATATAAAATCCTTAGTATAAAAAGATAGCATTTTCTCATTATCTCTGAAAGATTCCTCTCTGTTAATGAATACAAATGAACCATTTTACAAACATTTACTTTTTTTTATGAAAGGTAATTTCAGTTGCATATCATATTTTCTTCAAATACAAAATTGATTCAAAACAAAAATTTATGGCTAAAGCATTTATTTTTAAAACCCAGTTTCTAATTATGCCATCATGGAGATAACTTACATCCACACATCCACAATCAGCCCTGTGGATGAATGGTTCCCATTGGATCTTTAGTAAAGTATTTGTTATCTCTAGACTCAGTAGCTCGACAATCTCCCATTTGATGTTGTTGACTTGCGTGCCAAGCTGGCTTGTTTTCATTCAGATATTTCGTCATCATGCTAGCTGACATCATCAGGCTAGCTGACATCATCAGTGAGGCTTCCAATGAAACAATGTTATTCTACTCCGCTTGGAATTTATACTGTCTGGTCTGTTATGGCGAGAAGTGTCATTTTCAGTTTTGATCTGTATGGGTTTGTATATGGGGTCCAATTCTATATGTTTGTTGATTGTATATTCTTCACCTGTAATACATCCATATTCAAACCCATACAGGCCAAAACTGGAAATAGAGGAGATCAATATTACTTAAGTAGAGCAAGACTATGCAAAGCTAGAGAACCAAGGGATTTGGGAGCCTTTGTCCATGAATCACAAAAAGCTAGCATCCTAATTCAGCGATAATACGCAAGGCAAATGTTGGCCTCTCTTTCAAAGGGAACAGAGTATCAATGTAGTAAGATCTTGCCAAAACTATACACGAAACTAGTCAGACCAAAGCTGGAATACAGTGAACACTTTAGGGGCCCTTTACTACGCAAAGATATGTTGGCATTGGAAGTTGTCCAGAGAAGGTCCACTCGGCTGATACCAAGTATGAAGCGACTGTCTTATGAGATGAGGTTGAGTAGATTGGGCTCGTAGTCTTTAGGATACAGAAAAGTGAAAGGCAACGTTATTGAGCCATATAAGATTCTTAGGGGACTTGACAGGGTAGATGTGGAAAAGTTGTTTCTCCTTGTGGGAGAGCCTAGAGCAGAGGGTATCTCGGAATAAGCAGTTGCGCACATTTAAGACAGACATTGGGAGGAATTTTCTCTCTCTAAGGGTGAAATTCTTTACTGCAGAGGGCTATTGAGGCTGGGTTATTAAGTATATTCAGACCTGAGATAGACAGATTTTTAATCAAGGGAATCAGGGTTATGGGGAAAAGACAGGAAAGTGGAGTTGGGGATTATCAGGTCAGCTAATGAGCTCACCGAATGGCAGAACAGACTTGATGGGGTGAATGGTCTACTTCTGCTGTGATGTCTATAGTTTATTCTGTCTGCAGCATCTGACACAGCTGATTGTCCAAGTTTCTCCTCCGATCACCTCTTTGCTGTTGAAGGAATTGTTCTGGTTCCATTCTTACCTAAGTAATAATCAATGCCCAATAATCAATGCCAAAGAATCACTTGCAATGGCTTTTCTTTCTACTCCTGCACTATTACCTCTAGTATTCTCAAAGGATCAATTGTTGGTAACCTCCTATTTCTTATTTACAGGCTGCTTCTCTGTGACATTATTTGAATACACAGGATCAATGAATGCAATGTGTTAACTTAGTTTGTTCTGATTTCTGCAAATTTTTGTCTGACTCAAGCACAAGATCTGTGGTAACTCCCACACCACAACATATCACCTGCTCAACCATTATTCATTAACGGGTTGAGGCTAGGTAGCATTTATTGTCCATCCCCAATTGCCCAGAGTCAACCACATTGCCTAGTCACATGTAGGCCAGGCCAGACCAGACCAGGGAAGGACGGCAGTTTCCTTGCCTAAAGGACATCAGTGAACCAGATGAGTTTTTCCTGATAATCGACACTGGATTCGTGGTCATCATTAGATTCTTAATTCCAGATATTGAATTCAAATTCCACCAGCTACTGTGGCAGGATTTGAACCCAGGTCCCCAGAATGCTATCCAGGTCTCTGGATTAACAGTCCAGCAAGAATACCACTATTCCAATGCCTCCCCCTATTTACTTAATTTGGATGTTAAATATTTTAATGCTGTATTGCTTAACTGTACTCTTCAGCTCTAATAATGTCTCCTGATTTAAACCAATTGGCAAATCTGAAGAAATGCCCACCAAACACCAATTTGTTTTCCTGCAATGTCAAACTTCACGTCTAATACATAGAAACAAGTTGAAAGAGCTCCAAATCTTTAGGTTTTACCTCCATTGATCACCGCCCTTCTCGTGCAGATCTACTCTTTTCTAAACGGTTACTGACCTCGCTCATATATTGCGTAGAAGCACAGCTGCCTCCTTGCTACTTGCACCTGCCTTCTTGCCGCACACTCCTCCCAGTCCCTGAAGCTGCACAGGGTTCCATTTTAATCTCACTATAATGGATAGTTTTTTAGACAACACTTGCACTCAACTTGTACCATTTTTAGGAACAGCAAGTGAGAAATGTTAAAGCATAAAAGCATAAGGCATACAAAGATGGGAATAGTAAGGGTTTTAGAATGAATGGAGTGTTTGGAATTAACTAATTACATGACTTTTTTTTTGTCTTCAATCCATGGTGCAATGAGAGCAGCTAATATTTAGATTTTATATCGGAATTTAAGCTCAAGGAGAATCTGACAGTGTAACAGATCTTTATAGTGGTGCATACATATAAACATAAGTGCAACATGTGCAGGGGCACACCATCCTTTCCAGGACACAAGCCAACACTTCTTTGACATATATTGTCACTCCTCTATTATCACCAGGTCAAAATCCTAAAGCTGCCTACCTATTACCACTGTGATCTTCACCACAGACTATAGCACACCACTTTCTCAGGACTGAATGGAATAGAATGCCAACCTGTTGGTGCCTCCCACATTAACGGACTTGACAGGGTAAATACTGAGAGGATGTTTCCCCTCATGGGAGTCTAGGACCAGAGGGCACAGACTGAGAATAAAGGGATGCCAATTTAAAACTGAAATGAGGAGGAATTTCTCCTCTTAAAGGGAGAAGTGTCTTTGGAACTCCTTGCCACAGACAGCTGTGGGGACAGAGTCCTTCAGCAGTAGTGAAATCAAGAGTTATGGCAAAAAGGTAGAAAAGTGGATGTGAGAATGATCCTAGTGAATGGCAGAGCAGGCTCAATAGGTTGAACAGCCTACTTCTGTCCCTATTTCTCACGATCTTATTCAGAGACTGATATAATCCATACACTTTTACACATCTTAGTGCAATTTACTGAAACTTTAGATTAGTTGTTGCAACATTTCATGGTAGTATTTAATTAAATCACACAGGTTTAATGTTAGATTTTATTGAACAAAATACAGATTATAAACATATTCAGTATGTGTCCATTCCTACCAGTCCCCATTAATGGGTACATTACATTTTAATCAAAGTGCACTGTGGATTTACACACACAGGTATGCTACTATTTAAACTACTCCCCAGCTTTCCCATTCTATAGTTTAGGATTGCATGCCAAATGTTGACATCTTGGCAGTTTTACATGCTTTCAACACAGATTAATTCAATGATCTTTCAGTCCTGCTTAGACACAAAAAAATGCCAGGCAATGATGAAACATTATCAATGTTGTTGACCAGAATTACAATATTTTGTCCTTGTATGTCTAACATTATCTTGAATGCATTATTTTTTAATCTTCTGGTACTATATGACATTTGGAATTTGAATGTAAGTGTTATTTGAAGTGCATGTTAACTAATCTTTCCATGCACCAAAGCTTTCTTGATATCTGAGCAGGTTATCTCATTTCACTGATACAAATGACAATATCAAACCCATGTTGGATAGCTTGCCTTCCACTGCCATCATAAGTATTTAGGGCTATTGAAAAAGTCCTTTTCAGTACATAGCTACTGAAGTATAGTTCTGGCACCTTTAAAATCTCCAATTTAGAATTTAATTTTTACAGTAGCTGAAAAATCTTGAAGCAGATCTTGATGTACATTTAAACTTTTCCAATACTGAAAAGGCTTTGCACTTTCTCACATATCAATTTACATTACAATGCGAACAGTTGATTTCTGCATATTGGTATTGTAAACAATGCAAGAAATGTACAGAACCTCACTATACCAAAACTGTTATACAAGGTAATTACTGTTGAACAAAAATGTTTTCTGTGATATTACATTTAGCACAAAGAAATCCTGTGCTAATATCTTCAATTCAAAAGATTCTGGTAATGTAGAAAGATGCATTCAATGAAACAGACAAATAGTACCATCAAAACATTTACTTTTGCAGCATTGATTTATTCAAGGTGTGCAAACTAGGATATATAAAAAGGTATAAAGCGTGCACTGAATGACAAGTACAGGGATGTGCTAATAAAAATATCATTGAATTAACCTCAGATTGTAACATTTAATTTGTTATTGCAACAATGACAGCAGTATTATAGATTGATTAAAATGTGTATGCATTAAAAAGACAGCTTGCCAGTAAAGGGCTAACTGGACTTTTTTTTTTTTTAAAAAAGTCAGCATCCTTCTTCAGCATTCAAAAAGGAGTAGAGTTTAAAAAAAACTGCAGTAATGTGTTGATTGGAAGGCAATTGTACAAGTCATGGCACCACATATAGAAATTAGATTATTGCTAGTAGGTGCAAAACATGGATAGCATTGAATTTGAGCAATTTGTTCCGTCCAAATGTGCCTTGTCTTGTTGCTTCAAATTGCACTAACCCAGTTTTATTTCTCCCCCCACAATGACAGCCATTGAGTTACATCATAAGGTTCCAATTAATAACAGCAAAAGAAATAAAATAAATAGCAACAAAAACAAAGTTGCTGAAAAGCTCAGCAGGTTTGGCAGCACTGGTGAGGGGAAAAAAAACAAAGTTAAGATTTTGGGTCTGGTGACCCTTCCTCAGAACTTTGGATCACCGGACCCAAAACGTTAACTCTGTTTTTCTTCTTCACAGATGCTGCCAGACCTGCTGAACTTTTCCAGCAACTTTGTTTTTGTTCTCGATTTACAGCATCCACAGTACTTTCGGTTTTTAAAATAAATAGCAAAGCTGCCCACACTTCAAAAGGAAAGGACTTAACAGTGGTTTTTGTTTGGAGACCAAACATAATCAATATTGTTGCACAAACATCCAAACACAACAATGTGCTTAAACCTTGAATCAAAGGTGACATGCTAGCAGGAAAGCTACAAATAAAGACTGAAGAATGAATTTGTCAAATTACTTCTTTGTTGCTTGTAATTCAAACCAAAAGATTTAACAGACAAAAAGGCCTTTTCACTAAAGGGAGTGAATGTATAAACAGCTGAAAACCATTGCTTTTCTGTATCCTCACATCTGAAGGCCTAATAAGTTGAGTGCAAAAGTTTTGATGATTAGTTATTAGACCTCAATGAATCAACCAGTAGCTGGAATGTATAACAGAAACAAATGCAAAACTGGCAAGATTTTGAATTGAACAAGAAAAAAAAATTAAACACAAGCACAAGTTAACTCCAGTATATGTGGGACAGAAGGTATAGGTACAGATTTCAGTCTTATCAGAACGGGCTTTGCAGGTGGTAGCCTCAGCCATTTGCCTATTCCTCCCCCTACACTGCCAAATGTTTGGTAGATACGTAGACGGTCATATCTTAGTTAGATGCAAATAGGGGAAATATGGTCTCTCTTCAGAACAATATTCTCAAGTGTATATATGCACACCAATGTCAAAACTAATATTTAAAGTCCAAAGCTTTCTTCCACATGCCTACACAAACTCCCAATCAAGTAACAAACATTTTTAAAAAATGGATGCTCCATAGGCCCAAATAATTCAGTTTCATCCAAAAAATTCAATAAAGAAACTCTGCAAATCTTTCTTCAACATCTAATACAGTACCTCAGTTTTGAGTTACTTGAATATCTCCTGGTTAATTTTGAATTTATAAACTACACAAATATTTTGAACTTGAATAGGAATAGTATTGCCCTGTGATTATTCTGTTATGCACATTGGTGAAATGAAATCATACATTGACTGACACGACTGCCAACTGAGACCAAAATTTCAGCTTTCCCCATTCTACCCCATTGTTTATTCACATCACTTGACCATTTCAGCTGAACCTGAGCAAGAATTTTGACAAGGGCCATCATCGTTTATAAGCATCGTTATACACACCGTTAATAGTGCAAATGATTTGCTGGCAGGGACCTCGTAACATTGTTTCAGATTCAACATAACTCCAGGGCTAACTGTGCTACACCAAACAACAGTTAAACATTTATACAGCACACATGGACCAACAGAAGATTATCCATCATAGGTAAACTCCTTGCAATTGTTTAATTGACAAATACAAATTAATGCTCAACCATTCAAGTGGTTAAAAAACACCATCAGATATTCTGCCTAACAAACTTTTACTAAGTGTGGCCATTTTAGACACTGCATGCCAACCGACAAGGTTTCAGCCTGATCCAAACTTTAATTCCTGTAGATAGAGTATCAAGACAGAATGTGAACAAAAAGGAACATATCAGGAGGCCTTTGTATGTGGAGTTTTAAAAAAAAAAGACAAAAGAAAGCCATATCTACAGGGCTTAAAATTCATTCATCTCCCAGATACAAATGTTTACAGAAAACTGGAAAATAAAATGGAAACATGAACTGCAAACTGTAAATATTGATATCTGATTAGTGCCTATGTCAGTTTGTACTGTGTAATCAATACAATGAGCAAAAGTGTGAAAGTCACACCAATTGGTGGACTTAAGGTATTGTGAAACCAATCGTTTTAGTGGATAATGTTACTGTTGCACAAGTAAGTGTTTTTCTGAGTGAAGAGTTTATGTAGAGATACAATTTATGATCCAATTTGCTGATAATAACCTTATCACAAGTCTGCTTCAAGTTGCGTTGCCTTAGGAAACAAGTGCCTGTCCAACAAATGTCTATCCTTTTACTAACACAATGTTCTTTTGCAATGAAAGGGATTACCATTTTGATTGCATAATGGAAGATCTTATGTTGTCATTGATATAATTTGAGTAGTTATTTATTGAGATAAAAACTTGGAAGCGACTAAAAATGTTATGGCTGCTGAATTTGTACACAAAGTTGAAATTGCAACAGGACATCACAGAAAATCAGGAATATTGCGTTATTACTGGTTTTTCTGGATTCTCAAGGCATGGTAGACTAATGCAAAATTGACCAGTGTGAAGAATGGAGAAAGATAGTGTCTTTATAGAACATAATTGAAACGGTTTACATAGATCAGATAAACTTACAATACATGAATAAATAAATTGAAGAACACTAGCTGTTGGACAAGTGATTATTCAGGGACTCTTACAAATGACAATTATTATTGTCAATAATGAATCGGATTGAAATACTTGAAAAATTATAGCACACCATTGGCATGATGGCATTAATTTATGTAATTAAAAACAGCTTCTCCAGAGATCCACATCATTCCACATGAACAAAAAGATGAAGCGATACTTGCTTTTATGTTATTGGTTGAGGGAAAAATGTTAACCATGAAAGAGAGAGAACACCTGGTTTTCTAGTGTTTTGGAATCATTACTTGATTAATTAGACATCTTTGTGTGCTAATCTTGTCCTTTTGCAAGGTAATAGTAACCACATCAATTCTCAAGAGTTCTTGAGGCAGAGCTACTATGTAGCAACCAATAGGATTACTGACAAGTCATGGGTCAAAGATAGTCATTGCGATCTTGATACCTGTGTATAAATCCCTTCCATTGTGGGCTTTAAAAATTGGAAACCTAGAAATACAAAAAAGTCACTGCTTTTGAGGAAAATTGGTCTCTCTAGAGTTGCATCTTCAAAGCGAAGGCTCAGGATATATTTTATATCTGGTGCTCCATTAGAAACAGTCTATTCCTTTGTACAAAATCTCGATTGTTTATCCAATGCTCAGTAGGGAGGCCTGAGAACTAAAGATTGCAGCATGATAATAGGAGTGAGACTAGTGAGGATTGTGGATGTCAAATGATACTAACCTTCTCACTGATGAGTTAACAATAGTTCTTGATATGAAAAGGAAAGAAAAGAACTTAGTGAACTAGGAGGTCAGCTAAACATTGAAAGGTGGTGCTCAACATTTATGTTGTCAGAATTCCAAGAACAAATTCTAATAGATTAGAAAAGGTTCATTTATAGGTATTGTACACATTTCATTTGACAACCAGAATACCAGGGAACTATAAAAATTAGCAAATGGAGAGAAAAGGCTAATATAAAAAAAAGCTTGAATGGAATCTAAAAAACTACAAGGTGTTTTTATTAATATATAAATAACATGTGGAAATGGCCAATTTATTAAAATACTCTCCATCTGGTACATATTGGAAGGAGAGGTCAAAATACAAAGTCTCAGTTACACAATAAGTTAAAAGGAAAACCTTACTGGATTTAACCTAGAGATTGTTTTAATAAAACGGTACTGGAGAGAATAATTGGACTCATGATAAATCCCTAGAAACTGATATCTTGAAGAAACTATTCAGTTGAATTAATCAATTTTCTTAAACTCTAGATCTAGAAATTGTGCTATATAACCATGAAACTGCATAGATGCAAATCTGTGGATTTAACATTTGCTGTGAGCTAGTTAGTGGAACTCGGCCAGAATAACAGATGTAGTTATAGATTTACCTGAACTTACAGTTCAGTTATGAAGACAGGTCGCATAAATCTCTTTTTCATTATCTAGAGTTTAAAAGGTTGAGGATTCACAATCAAGAATGCAAAATAATGGGATTTAACTAGGTAGGTACAGATGAAATTAGAGCTTTTACAATAATTGCGAAAGATGATATTCTCAAAATTAGAACTAGGCCAATTAGAAGTGAAATCACGGAGCACTTGTTCACATAAGGATGTGAAAATCAGGAATTCTTCAAATCTTTCCTGCTCCCCAACATCACTACCAAAAAAAAAAAAGCTATGTTTACAGGATCAATTGAAATTTTCAAGCAAGAGAGCAGAGAGAAATAACGTTTCTGTTGGGTACAGGTTTCAAGGGAGCCAAGGCAAACAGTTGAAATATAGAAAAGCCATGATCCAACTAATTGCTGAAATAGCCTGAAGGGGCTAAACAGTCAACCACATTTCCTTTTCCCAAGAGCAGTGTTGTTCCACACAACTGCAATGTGTATCATTATGACAAAAGTATTTTCAACAAGTTTTAAAATAAGAAAATAAAGCATGTCTTGCTCACTGTCACTGACAATCTTGCTTACTACAGGCTCACATTGATTTGTACTGTTCAAGTTATTTTTTATTTTATGTAGCCTGATCCTGTCCTTTTTATATAGTCTGGTGCTCCAGATTCCGATCTTTGTTTGACTTCAGTGAAAACAAACTTTCTTGGGTAGTAGGGGAAATCAGATTACAGCACTATGCCTAACTATTGTCAGTTTAATATTTGGGTCTGAAGACTATTTCAAACCATTTACTAATTTCTTGATCAATATGTTGGAATTTCAAAGCGTTGGCAATCATTGTGAAAAGGAGTTACTTGCAACACTCAAAGGAATTGTGCCATCACAAAACAGGTGCTCAGATGTACAAACTGCAAAACTTATGAATGCTGAGAGTTAAACATTAAACTAAAACAAAGAACTGTGGATGTGGAAATCAAATAAAAACAGAATAACACCATGTTGTGCTGGCAATGGTAGATAGTTTGGTCTTTCCAGTAAAAATAATTTGCTGACCAGCTGCTCACAATCTTTAGCAGTAATCACTAGTGAACGATTAAAGCAAAGAAAAAAAAAGTGTGGAGATGCTCTAAGCTAGAGAAGACCACCTTCGCAAAGGAAGATAGAAAGTGGGCAAGAGCTGAAAAAAAAAAGGGAAATAACAGTGAATCTTGCTGACAGCTAATTCCTTGACATTGAGGCTCAAGTAATTTCTGTGGTGCGAGACATTTTTAAGATCCAAGTGCAGGATCCTGTCTATGACGGTGTTTCTTGCATTCCTCCTGCACCCAAGCTCAAAATAAATGCCTCTCAGACCTTCTCAGATCTGGGAAGAGCAGCTCCCTAAAGATTTCTGTGAAATTATGCCATCTTGAACTTTAGTTTCAGAATGAGAGTTATTCATTAATCTAGAGAGGATTCTGTCTGGAAATACACTTCTACACTCAAAGCTTTCTTGAACTAGGATGCAAATTTCAAGAAAGTGACTCACTTGAACCTGTGAAACAGGAGAAACAGTAAGGGCATCTGAAATGAAAGGCACAGATATTTGACAATCTCAATCACCCAACCATCTAGGGGGACAATGTTTGTCTGAGGGCCACCACATGCTTTTATTGGCTAGTTTAATACTTAATCTAAGTTTGGTAAGACAATGGGAAGTTAATGACAGCCAAATTCTGCATTAGCACCCTCAAGTCTGACAGTCATCAGGCTCAAATAGTATCAAGACCAATTCATTTCAGTAAAGTTAGATTATCTTTGTCTAAGTCTTTATTGTTGAAAGAAAGAGACGGTTAAACTTTAAACATCTTCACTAAAGTCAAACAGAATCTCTGCAACTAAAAGGTCAAAACTCTATTGCTGAGGCTACGGTGGGAAGGTGTAGGAATTCCAAACAAAATCTGATTAGCACACGACTTACAAGTAAATAGCATAAATGCATTTTGCTTCCCAAAAGTCTTTCCTATCTAACTCAGTCCAAGATCTGTTGATAAATCCAACAAGCTTTAGTTAATTCGTGCAGCAAAACAGTCCAGAAGTCTTGGCCAGTATTATCATTGAAACTGTAACACCTAACATTAACGCTGAAAAATCCTGCAATACATTTAGAAAAGCCTCTTTTATACAAGAAGACCGTTTCAAGATATCACTTAAATAGGTTCCATGGATTAAAAAACAATTATTCTAGAGAATTAGATAATAAGAGAATAAAGAATATTGACCATATTTTCTTACATTTACAAGACTTGGATATAACAAGTTCATAGGACAACTGTGTACGGAGGATCAACAGAAGTAATTTTACATACCATGGATTTTCCCTCCCTCAACAAATTCAAATGGCCAAAGAAACCTTTGGCTGAGCTTGAGGCTGGCTTTATAGAAATCGTGTATTATTACTAGGCAATGTAAGCAAGTGCTACAGGTGTTAGTCATAATAAACTCATACGTAATATAGATCTTAAAGTTAGAAAAGCACACTAAATTGAGATCCAGGATAATCTGATTGCAGAAACATTCCAGTCAAATAATAAGACTCCCTTTAAACTTAACTGAGAAAGATAATAACTAGAAAATTCAAAAAGTACCAAGGTGAACAATGTAAAATGAGGTTTACAAAACACTGACTGCACAAAAGGCTATAAAAATATGGTTAATGAACTGTCTCTGGCTGCCTTTCTTCTTTTGTACTGCAGTGACTTTTGTTTGGAAAGGTAAACAAAGGAAAAATCTGTAGGAAGTTTCCTATTCCACTAGATCTCCATCAATTTTTAAAATGTTCCTTACTTTAGGAGCTCATCATAAAAAAGTGTAAAGTAAACAATTATAACAACAGAAGCAACCAATTGCCAAGATAAATTTTTGGAGAGAGGGAAAACAGGAAGGTGACATAATACAGTTTGCTATTTTAAAGCTCAAGGTTTCTTGTGTGCAACACCTTTATACCCCAATCTGATGTAGACCATCTTAGGAATGTGAATTTAGAAACAAAGTCAATAAGAGAACAATAAATATTTTGTAGAGGGTAAAAACCTAAAGACAAAAGAAGCCTCAAATTTGCAAACAGAAATGTTAGTTGTCGGATTTTAAATTAAGAAGCACTTTGATTTGATTAGTACTGTATAAACCAAATCTAATCTGATCTGAACCATAATCTAAACAGTATGAGATTAATAGACACTTGAACCAACATAGTACATCAAACACAATATGTTTTTAAACTCTATAGTATACAGAAATGAGATTTCAGTTTTGAGACGGAGCACTTTTTGTTCCTTTTAAAGTTATAAGCCATCCAACAGGTTTACTCACTTTGTTAAGATACTCAAATCTCTGGCAGAAATACCATTCTATTCCATCTAATACATTTATTGTATTCCCATAAATGATATGATTAAAACAAAAACACCAGAATACATTCCAAAAAACCATACAATATACTTGATTAACAACGATCAATATGATCCTTTAGTACTATCCAGCTATAGGTGTCTTCCCATTATAGAATATAAACCTAAACAATTAAATGCTGCCAAATACAATACTGCAGCATTTAAAAGGTGACTGCTCACGAGGTCCAAATTCATCTTGAAACTAATTTCATTGTATATTAAAATAAAGTAACGCATGTCTGTGATTTGTTCCCCCACTTTTGATCTTTCAGTAGACAGGACCTTATTACATATGCAAAAATCAGAATCCATCATCATTTGGTGCTGATAAAACTGAAATGAACCAAGTTAACCAAGTCATATTTTCTGTGATATACATCCACTACACACCAATCTGTTTTTTAAAGGGAAACTAATATTTAAAAAATTATGAGTCTGTAATGCCGTATTATTTTCATTTACATTGAGATAGACACATTATCAGCCAGAATACAATCAATTAATTCCACCCTAAAATCCAGTGAATTAGTAGTCATTTTAGACAGACAAACTTCAACTTCAATAGTTTTAGAAGCAGACGGGGAAGAGGGAAGATAAATGACCTCTTCATGAAGGTCTGATATTAGTGAAACAAATGAGCATATTGGATCAGCAAAGGAAAATGCACCTCAGTGAACAACATCTGGAATATTACCATAACTACTGGCTTACTTTCATGTACTAGGGAAGACTTGCATGCATACTTGCATTACCTTTGTTAGTATTTTGACTGGATATTCCCTTGCCAAAACTACGGACTTACAGAACTCTTTTGTAAGATCACATTTGCTAGTAGCTGACAAATGCCTGGAATACGACCATGAATCCTGTTCGGATGCCCTGTACAAAAAAGGGCCCTGAAAGCACTATATGTCCTAACTATCAGTTGGCAATGGCCTGAGCATGTTTGGACTAGTTAACTATTTATCCACCTGATTATTCAGGCCAATACTTTACAATTTATTCTCTCGACTGATAAAATAAAATATATCCAGACTCTGAGTTTTTTGAAATGTCTGAAGTCAGACCATAGAATTCTTCAATTGCTTGAGCATCAATTTTCTGTAAAAGAAATAGAATTCTTCAATAAATTTATGAATTTCAAATATAACCAGACAAAATTCAAGTATGTTCAAATAATGAAACACATTAACTACAAAAATTTCTGCAAGTTTACATTTACAGTTATTTACTCTAAAGATGAGCATTGGCCAATCACTGCTTCACTACAGATCACAGCCTCATTACTTTAAAAGTGTAAATTATTTTTGATACAATCAAAACAACATGCCAACCTAACATACAGCTGCACTCAGATTTAGGCACCCATAAAATCTGCAGCTAGATAAAACATAATTCATTATATACTGGAATTTATTTCAAAACATAATTCCCCAAACTTTTGCAGCCTGTACTTTCAGCACAACAAAACGTTCCATCAGTTCCCACGCAAAGAATCCTTCCATAGTATAGGCTGGAAGGGTGGCAGATGTACCGAGCATAGTCAGGTCAGCAACTAGTCAGGGTGAGTTGGTGGTAGTGAACAATGCTAGTGATTGGGGGTCATTTCTATAATTAGGGACCAAGGCTTCCAACTCTAACTCAGAGTCAAAGACATTCGCAAAAGGTGCTGGGGAGAAGGGAAAATGGCCAGTCATAAGTTGAAACTTCCTCAGCAATTCCCAAGTATGTCAACATATCTGGGCATCTCCAGTAGTGTCTGATTGGAAAGTGGAGGGGGCGGGCCATGTCCTCTATGGTCCCCTTGCACTAGATCACATACCTGTTAATAATGTTCAAAATCAATCTTCTCCATAACCCTTGTCCATTACAATAAAATTTAGAATGAGCACAGAGGGAGTTGAGGGTGGAGGGGAGAAGGACAGCAAAAATAGAATTTGGGGCAGGATCCTGTCCAACTGAAATTTTCAGCCATTTATATCCATTTACGTTTTACGCAAATGACTCAACACCCAGGTTTCAAAACTTTGGTGAGACCAACAGTCAGATTCTGCCATTTTAGCAGCAGGATAGGTTAAGTGGAGTACAGAAATGACTTAATAGCAAAACAGCTGGTAAAAGGTAACCACAATAAAATCAAATTTGTTACAAAGAACAGGAAGGAAATCAAAGAGAATAAAAGGTCAAGGGTACTTGGTTGGAAAAAGTACATAAGAAATAACAAGGGACTATACTCGGACTAATTGAGAAGCACAAGGTGGATTAGACTAGGTGCAGTGTGAAGGAAAGCAACAGCAGAAATGTGATGGGCCAAATATAATGCTGTAGTACAGAACAGAAGTTTGGTTCCATTATTACAGGTGTTTGCAAATGTGGTTATTTGTTATAGCAAATCTTAAAATTCTAAGATTTCTACAAAGAAAACATCTTTTTCTACTAATTTTTTTGTATTTCTAGCCTCCAGACATTTATATTTTGCTGGGGTGCAATTTCATAGAACCAGTTATTCTTTGGGTATCTTTATCAAATCTGTAATTTTGCATAACAAAACAGACTGGTATTCAATAGATCATGACAATAGGAGCAGTGCCAGGGAGGAAGTGGCAAGAGTCAATCTACAATCCCTCAACTAATAAATTTCAGCCAGGTTCTGTTAAGAATAATACACCTCACTATTTTCCCATTTATCCCAGGGATTCGGTTGCTGGGAGACAAAGTTGCTTATGTTTTCCTAGGTTTATGTTTCTATCCACTTTCATTAGGAACATATTGATCATAAACAAAATGCGTATTTTTTAAAATGACAAAATGCATTCCTGAATTATGTGGTGTAAGTTAATACAACTTGGATGCACAACATAAAGACAACTTGCACATATTTACATAATGCAAAAGTTGTTGGAAGAGGGCAAGGTGTTGATTATTGTTTACTTGAACTTTCAGAAAACATTTGAAATACAACAGTATTTGACTGACATGTAAACAAAGGCTCAAATGAAGGAAGCAGTAAGTAGTACAGTCAATTAACTTCAGTGCACAGAATTAGGTGTTCTCAGCCATGTTCTCATGCAACATGCAGCCAGCCACATGAACTCCCAACAGGGTAGTCCATTACTGACCAAATCAGCACTATCCTCGAAATGTTGGTGTAAATGTTGGTTTTCCGCTTAATTAGTATTGCACTGATAATTGCAAGATGAAAAACTTCAGTGTTTTTTTTCAGCAGTCTTTTGCTTACTTAGAAAGCATTGCATAAATGCAGGCTATTCTTGCAGCTAATTTGCAAACTGTCAATTAACTGTATTCCCCCAGAAAATGATCTGAATTTGTGAAAAGACCAAAAAAGGCTTACAGGTAATGTCGATCATGAAAGAACACAATAACAGGTCTGTAAGCTCAGCGGTCCACCAAATTGGCATACCCCATCATGAGTCATTCTGGGAGTGAAAATGTTACAAGACTGGGACAGTTTAACTGCCTTCTTGTAATTGACTCAGTATCCTTGGAATAAATTATGGGCATGGATTATCACTGTAACAAAGCATGGTGGTGGTGGTGGTTTGGGGGCAGTGGGAGGGGAGGTGGGTGGGAAAGGTGGTGTGGTGTGTGTTGATAAATCAAGTAGGAATCTCACTCTTAATATCCTTACAGACTTTCCCATTATTAAAATTTAAAAAGCCAGAAAATAATCAGGCTGGATCTATTATGGATGCAAAATCCAGCCTGATTTTCCACGCTGTGCATTGGTCCTGTGATAGATGAAAGTCAACCCCATTTCTGCTGACTTGTAAAAATATTTATGCTTTATAATAAATTCAAGACTAACCTCAACAATATCATCGTCAAACAAAAGCCAGAAGCCATGGCTTTTCACAATAGTTATATAGTGTCCACGGTTAGGGCCACTGTGATGGAGAGAGAAAAAAAAAGAACTCATCTTGTAAGCATTCTCAAACAAATATTAGCTAATATAGATTGAATAATTGATCAACATTTATATAACTGCATTCTAATGAGAAATTTTTTGCTTTCTTATTTAAATAAGAATGGATAAACTGATCAGTTATTCAATAGGATTTCAGAATTCATCTGGTTCGGAAAGGATTTTGCCAGAAAAACACATTCAGGTCAGGTAGAGCTCACTCAAGTGACCATAAAACTGAATTGACAATTGAGTCAATTAGTTCACTCAAGTTACTGTACAATCAACATATCAGCTTAGCATAATACAGAGAGATCCTCTGGTAATCAACAGAAAAATTTTTTTTTCTCAGATTGCATTTTTGTTCTCACCATTCCTATTACAACATTAAGAATAGGAATGATTATATTTGGCAATTTTTCAGTCATTTTCTTTCTTCTTCATTCAATTTCCATCTGGTTTTCTAAGACACACTCATTGCAATCAATTTATTTACAGTGCATGTGCATTTTTTTTTTCTGGCTTCTAGTCTCTACTGCTTTAGCAGAACAGAAAAATAAAGATTAAATGGCTTAACAAGCAAATCCTTTACCCTCGCAGAGATAGTTTACATGTAATCGTCTGAATGGAAGAAAGACAACAGATCATTTGATTGGGGGGATATAGTGTAGCAAATTATTGTAAACATATGCCATTCCTTCGGAGGCACATGTGGAGTGACCAAGACCATGCCTTTTTTAAAATAATAGACATAAATGAATATACAAGGAGCACTGTTAGCAGAATGAACAGATGGTGTAATTTTTCAGTTTCCACTGATAGGAGACATTCAACATTGAGGGCCTGTTATCATTCTCAACTTTAACCAGGATTTAAAAATCTACTGAAGCCAAATGTTAGGGTGGCATGGTGGCTCAGTGGTTATCACTGCTGCCTCATAGCGCCAGTGATTCAATTCCGGGTTTGGGCAACTGTCTGTGTCAAGTTTGCACTTTCTCCCCGTGTCTGCGTGACTATCCTCTGGGTGCTCCGCTTTCCTCCCACAGTCCAAAAGATGTGTGGGCTAAGTGGAATGGCCATGCTAAATTGCCTTAGAGTCCAGGGATGTGCAGGCTAGATGGATCAGCCATGGGAAAATGCAGGGCTACAGGATTAGGGATGCTTTTTGGAGGGTTGGCGTGGACTCGATGGCCTGCTTTCAGGCTGTAGAAATTCTATGATTAGTTCACAGCAAATAGAAACATGGGTTTAAAATCCCTGGCAGACAGAATTGTGACTTGATGCCAAGAGTGAAGAGTGAGGCAGTGTCTTTACTCATCTCTGCCCACCAGAGAATAACAAATAGGCATTTACCACTTGCACATGGATTGCTCTGTGACTACACCAACAATATGGACTTCTATCCATAGATGTCAAGGGTAGCTTCTGTTGTGGGAAATGAAGGCAGAACTGCTGGGATGTTCTCGTGGTGTGACACCATTGCCATAATCATACCAGTAGTATGACATGCAGACTTGGTTACTTCTTTGCAAACTATTTCTATGATTCTATAGATGAATGGATAAGACTATTTGGCCCATAATGCATGTGCCAGCTCACTGGAGAGTTTTAAAATTAGTCTCACTCACTTTCTCAACTCTGAGCATGTACTTTATCGATAGCCTTCCAAAAAGACCATAACCACTGATTCTTGTTTATGTATTCTACTAATTACATTCAAAAAACTCCAGTAGAACATAGAACATAACAGCGCAGTACAGGCCCTTCAGCCCTCGATGTTGCGCCGACCTGTGAAACCAATCTGAAGCCCATCTAACCTAAACTATTCCATTATCATCCATATGTTTATCCAATGACCATTTAAATGCCCTTAAAGTTGGCGAGTCCACTATTTTTGCAGGCAGGGCATTCCACGCCCTTACTACTCTGAGTAAAGAACCTACCTCTGACATCTGTCCTATATCTATCACCCCTCAATTTAAAGCTACGTCCCCTCGTGCTAGCCATCACCATCCGAGGAAAAAGGCTCCCACTGTCCACCCTATCTAATCCTCTGATCATCTTGTATGTCTCTATCAAGTCACCTCTTAACCTTCTTCTCTCTAACGAAAACAACCTCAAGACCCTCAGCCTTTGTTCATAAGACCTTCCCTCCATTACCAGGCAACATCCTGGTAAATCTCCTCTGCACCCTTTCCAATGCTTCCACATCCTTCCTATAATGCGGTGACCAGAACTGTACGCAATACTCCAAGTGCAGCCGCACCAGAGTTTTGTACAGCTGCAACGTGACCTCATGGCTCCGAAACTCAATCCCTCTACCAATAAAACCTAACATACCGTACGCCTTCTTAACAACGTTATCAACCTGGGTGGCAACTTTGTGATCTATGCACATGGACACAGATCTTTCTGCTCATCCACACTACCAAGAATCTTACGATTAGCCCAGTACTCTGTATTCCTGTTAGATTAGTTAAACACGATTGTGCTTTCATAACCTAATGACGACTTTGTTTAATCCCATTCATGCTTTCAAGTGTTATGAGGAATCTGAGGAAGGGTCACTCAATCTGAAAATGTTAACTGATTTCTCTCCACAGATGCTGCCAGAACTGCTGAGTTTTCTCAGCAATATCTGTTTTTGTTTCTGATTTACAGAATCCGTAATTTTTGTTCCATCATCATGTCTTTTATAATAAACTCTAGCATTTCCCCCACTACTAATGTGAGTGGCAAGTGATCAGTAATTGTTTTTTGTCTTTTTTTAAATAGTAGGGTTATATTTGCCATCCTCCAATCTGAAGGAATTGCTCCAGGGTCTGTAGAATTTTGTAAGATGACCAAAGTATCCAATATATTCAGCACCTTTTCAGATAGTGATCTGGGATGCAGATTATCAGGCCCTGGGATTTTGTTGGCCTTAATTCCTTGCCTTTTTTGTTTACTAAATACAGACTTCCTTCAATTCCTCCCTCTCACGAGATCTTCAGTTCCTTAACATTTCTGGAAAATTATCTGTGTCCTCTTTTGAGAGTCAAAATATGTGGTTATTTTCTCTGCCATTTCTGTTCCCCATTATGGCCTACATTTGTCTTCATTAATATTTTTCTCTTCATGCACAAATGGAAACTTTTACAGTCAGTCAGTCTTCATGTTTCTGTCAAGTTTACCGTCATTCTATTTTCCCCCTCTCGATAAATCTTTTTGTCCTCTTTTACTGAATTATAAACTGCTCCCAGTCCTCAGGCTTGCTGATTTTTCTGGCAATTTTATACAGTTCGTCATTAGATCTAATACTAATGTCTTTGGTAACACACGGTTGAGCGACTTTTCCCGTTTAATTTTAGATAGCAACAAACAATTGTAATTTGCAGCCTTTCCAAGACATCCTTGACACTGACATCAAGAATGCAACATATAATCCAGGAGCTTCTTCGCAATTGCAGAAATACCTGTCTGTCTATTTCCTTTGCTATTGAATTGTTCATTACCATAGCAGTGCCACTCTTCTTCCTTCCATCTTGTGCAGCACAGCCATCATGGACCTGGCTTCTGCCGCTATTCAAGTACTCTCCCCCAACTGTACCAAAACAGTATATCTATTAGATTGGGAGTGGGGTTGGGGGGGGGGGGGAAAAAATCAGCCCCAGGGGTCTTCTGCATTGCCTGTTCTGCTCTGCCTGGATGGTCACTTTCTGCCCATTATATCTTTATCTGTGGTGTGACCAGCTCACTGAAGATGCTGTCCACAATAATCTCGGCATCACTGATGCCCTACAGGTGAATCCACCCAGCACTTCAACTCCAAAATTCAATTATCTGGTATCTGAAGCTGGCCACCTGGGACTCTGGAAGAGTCCATGACTTTCAACATAGCCCTGAAGGTGCACATCATGGGTGAGAGTTCTGTTGCCCTGACTTCTCTTTAGATTAAGCTCATTAGTTACTCCATTAAAGGACACCAATTACACTAGGGATCTTTTTCCATTCAAAACATTTCCACTACAGTCCAAAATCACTCCCATATTTTATTTAATCTAATGAACTGCTGCAATTTAATTCATGGAAAGTGTAGAAATATTCACTCAATGTTAGATTCAGATGCTTTCTAATTTAGAACTATTTAAAGACATAGATTACCAGCACTGTCCCACCCTGTTCAGCTCTCAATTATACACCGAGTTCGCCACTCTCCTCTTGTGCTGCTTTACACCAAGTCCAGTGCTCTCATCTGGAGTTGTCGGGTACCAGTTTCACTTCTCTCGTCTCATGCTGCTTTATATAGAGTTCACCTCTCTCCTCATATGCTGCTTTATACAGAATTCACTGCTCTATATCAAGATCCTCCTAATCCACTTCACAGCAAAGCTGCTTTGCTACCCACTGCTCCCAATCTACTTCATAGTGATGATGACTGCTGCAATGCTCCTCCCAGTTCCAAATCCTCCCAACCACAATGGGAGTGTGTCTAGGAGGGAAACTTGCAGATGGTAGTATATCCTAAATATTTGATTCCCATGTCCTTCTAGATGTCATAGGTTTGAAAGCCTTGGTGGCTTTCAGCATTGCATTGTGTAGGCAATATTTTCTGCTCCTACAGACACAGTGATGGAGATAATGAATGTTTGTGGACATGGTTCTAATCAAGTGGTCTGCCCTCAGAAGAAATTCCTCAATTGTGCCTTAAATGTTCAAACACTTATGAGATAATGCCTTCTGGTCTAAGGCTTTCCCACAAAATGAAACAATCTCTCTACATCTACCCTGACAAGTCCCCTAAGAATCTTGTATGTTTCAATAAGTTTGCCTCTGGTTGTTATATATTTCAATGAGAATAGGCCAAAACTAGTTAACCTCTCAAGAACATCCCTTCATACCCAGTATTAGCCACGTGAGCCTTCCATGCCAGTATATCTTTCCTTAGAGAAGGTCTCACACAGTTGGTTTAAAAAACATCAACACAGTAAATAAAATTAGTACACATGATTAGGAGGGAATTTACTGGTATGGATTGAGAATTGGTTAATAAACAGAAAGCAGAGCGAGGAGGAATAAACATAGCATTCTCAGGATGGCAGGCTGTTACTATGGAGTACCACAAGGCCCAATGCTGGCTTTACCAATGTTCACAATCTATTCAAATAATTTAGATTTAGGGACCAATTCTAGCATTCCCAAATTTGATAACACCAAACTAGGTGGGATTGCAAGCAAGCTTCAAAAGCATTTGAACAAGTGAAGTTAATGGACTAGAACATGGTGGATGGAATATATGATGTAAATAAGTGTGAAGTTACACACTTTGGCAGGAAAAAAAACCAAAAGGCAGAACATTTTCTAAATGGAAGAGATTGGAGAGGATAAAAAGTGTCCAAGAGAATGAGTGTCCTTGCCCAACAGTCACTAAAAGCTGGCATTAAGGCATAGCAATCAATTAGGATTTGAGTACAGAAGGAAAGATGTTTGTTTAGAACCCTTGAGATTTCACCTAGAGTATAGTGTGTAGTTTGGTCTCTTTCGCTAGGGAAGGGTATACTTGCCATAAAGGGAGTGCAACAGAGATTCACCAGATTAATCTTGGAGATATCGGGATTGTTTTTTTGAGAAAGGATCGAGGACACTGGGTCTGTATTAACTAGAGTTTTGAAGAATGGGAGGTGAAACTTACAAAAACTGTGACAGGACATAACGAGGTGGATATAGAAAGGATTGGCTATCTTAGAAACAGGGACATAACTTCAGAATAAGGCAAAGGCCATTCAAGACTGAGATGAGAAGAGATTTTTTTCATTTACAGGGTGCTGAATCTTTTGAATTCTGTACCCCAGAGTTGTGGAAGGTCCATATTCAGCACATTCGAGACAGAATTCATAGGATTCTGGAGACTTATGACAATATAGGATATGTGTGTGTTTTGAAAAATTGCCTTGAGATGACTATCACCATGATTGTGAATGGCAGGGTAGTTTGATGGGCTGAATGACCAACTACTGTTCCTATATTCCATTCGCAATATGGTGATACTGCACACATCTGACTATACCCACTCTCCTCACCATAACCTTCTTCATCTCTGATCCCCAAGTACTGCAACCTGGCCAGGCAGTAGAGAAACATCAAGATAATGAAGACAACAGCACATCACTTGATTTCATATTCACTGCTACCAGCTCAGTTACTAACCACGTCTGCGTCTAAAGAGAATAGATTAAAATTAGGATCTGCCTCATTGAAGCAACTGGCACAGAGCACTAAAGCCAGCGCAGAAGGCAAGCATAATACAGGTGTCATGTCTCTGGAGAGACTTCCCAGTTCAGACTCAGATGAAGACTTCAGTGGAACATAATGCAGAAGAACAGCAACAGTTATGCACATTGGAATAGTATAAAATGCATGAAATGTGTCAAAGTGAAAAACGTGAAGGTTGAAGTCTATTCCCTTCCTTTACAAGAATATAATAAGGCTGTTCTAAGAACTGGTTCAGGTAGTGCTAGTGAAAAATCTTTCTTGAAACAAACCTGCCACAGTGAACAACAACTGCCACCAGATCATACATGCGGTCCAAATTAATAGCATCGCCTGATGTATTAAACAGTCTCAACTCCAGCGGAAACACTACTCTGTAAGAGAGTTTTGTGTATCGATGTAATTGTTCCATGTATTTGAACCGCTTCAAATGTAATGCGAGGATCATGGGTAGCTTCTTGACACACATTCTGTTGAAGAAAGACAAAATCAGTATGTAGGCGGTTTAGACAATAAAATGCAAACATACTGGTGGTTACCAGATGGTCTTTTAAAAAAGTCATCCAGTCAAGATAACAATTTAATTTAGAGGCTGAAAGTAAGAATAACTAATTTCAAAGCTATCCAAAAAAATGTGGACGATTAAGTTGCAGAAATCAAATTAAGAAGTGTTCTTCCATTAAGAAATTTTGAATCCAGTTTCAGTGGATGATCAATGAGGCCTTTGCAGCAACATGGTGCAAATGCATACAGAGTAATATAGCAAATAACAGGAAAAAAAAACACTTTCATTAATTCACATGTTACTCATCCAGGTGAATCTCAAAGTAATGCCATGGATCAAAAAATATTGTAAAAACTGAAATGTGAAAGTAATATTCACAAACAGCAAGTATACTTCCAAATGATCAATTTTATGCAGAGTCTGTGACAACACTATATAAAAATACAGGTTCTGGATTACCAACAAATAATAATCATTTGATTCCTACATCCTATTAGTTTAATATATTTATACTTCCAATTGTTCTAATCAATCAATACCTGGCACTGGTTAAGTACAACCAAGCAATTGAGTTTGTTTGGCACTTTTGTCATAAAAATTTAAAAATTGATTCAGAACAAAAGATATCCATATTAAAGAGATATGTAATCTCAAAATTTGGAGTTACAACGCTAAATTACACTTGCTTATATGCTCACCTTTTCTGAGCTTCCTGTTTACTGCAACATGTTTCACAATAATATTTGTGTTCACTGCACAGTGTTTCTGTGTTGCTGAAATCTCTACAAATTAAAGTTATAAAAATATTATGTACAGTGCAGAAATGATTATAAAACAGTGAAGAAATCATAATTAATTGAATTTTGCAAAACAAAAAATAAATAAAAATAAATCTATAACCGGAAGATTCAACTACAATAGAGAAATTGAAAAACCTGAAAACTACACTTGGGATTTGAAATAGAAGATCTGCAAGTAGATTTTTTTTTAAAAAAGTTGGCAAGTTACCACACTGACACAAATACAGGCACAATACCTTCACACATGGACTGCAGCTGACAACAACCTTCTCAAGGGCAACCAGATTGGGCAATAAATGCTGGCCTGGCCAGCAATACCCCTGTGCAATGAGTGGATTAAAAATACAAACGCAAGAAGTTATGAAGAACTTCTACAGCACATTGGTCCAGCACCACGCTTCAGGAAGGATGTGAAGGCTTTAGAGAGACTGCAATAAGAGTATGAGATGGTTTTACTGGCAAGGAACTTGATTACATGGATAAATCAGAAAAGCTGGAATTGCTTTCCTTACAGGAGAGAATTTCCTTACAGTGGAAATTTGATCATGTGTGGTCTGGACAGAGTAGAAACAAAACTGTTGAGATTGGTGGAAGGTTGAGAACTAGAAGACAGATATAAAGCAAGTGGCAAAAGAACCAAAAAGAGGGGGGAAAAAATTAATCATGAGTGTTATGATCTGGAATGTACAGCTTGAGAGTTAAATGGATGCAAATTCAGATGTGGTTTTCAAAAGAGAATTTGATTAACACCTGAAGGCAGAATGCACAAATCAACAGGGAAAGAAAGAAAAAAAGAGCAGGAGTAGAGAGGGTCAGAGTTTGGAGTGGGTCTAGCTGAACTGTTCTTGCAGCCAGCTGGCACGGACACAACAACAGAATGGCGTTCTTCCATTTCAGAGAGAATACTGCACATAGTGCCACCTGCACTAAGAGGCTGGAAACAGGATTCACATGCATGAAACAAAACACTGGCATGATCCTGACCTTTCACAAAAATCTGATGGGGCCGAGTAAAGGCACCAAATGGAAGTCAAGCATTTTTCAATTGGGAATTGAAAGAATAGAAAAAAGTAAACAGTTTTCCATTCTACTATTAGGTCCTAGCCTCATCTCATTGTACCCAGAATATATTTTCAGCAGGATGTAGGGAAAGGAAAAGAAACAGGAGAAACAATACTTGTACAGTTCTACCTCTTCCAGGAATATTTTACAAAATGAAATACTGCAGATACTGAACAACAGAAATAAAAACAAAAATAAACAAACTAGAAATACATCAGAAATCTGTAACCACGAGGGTGCTGGAAGCAGAAACAATAATTTCAAAAGTTTGGGGGGTGGGGTGGGGTGGGGCAGGGTGGGGCAGCCAACATGGACTTGATGGGCTGAACAGTCTCCTTCTGTTCCATAAATAACAAGGGAAGGGCATGTAATTAAGCAGGGTGGTGGTATACCTGAACCCTTGCCAGATTACTGCCTGTCATAATTAAGTTCTGGATAGGAGGGAAAAAAAAAATTTAATCAACATTTCTGCACGCCTTCAACTGGGCTAATAATTACCAATTAAGGGGCAACTAAATGGAAGAGTGTTAAAGATACATTCAAAATTTGTTTTAATTAATAATTCTGCAGATCTATGAAATTCTTTTCCATATTCACTAATCTAATTTTATTGCATCTCTATACAGTCAAAGAGAATACTACAGTTCAAAGTTTTTTTTATTATCATGAGGTAAGTAAAGTTTTGAAAATTAAGCTGTTTTATTCATTGCTCACAATTCCTATTCGGCACCCTTGCTTAATAGCTTGCAGCCTCAAATATCTGCATTGTCAAAATGGCTAGTGTTCTTCATTTGAAGAGATCAGTAGAACACAAGACAATTGCCAATGAATACTTTAATAATAGGAATTATTCGCCCAGAAACTTGCTATCCCAACTTGCTCCATACTTGAAGTTATATGTTATTTCATAGGAAAGTGAAGGTTTACCGATAGCAACAGTAATTAAGCACAAGGAAAGGTAACTGGAACCAATCCGAGTCAAACAGGGGCATCCCCTTCAGAATGAGGGATTCAGGTTTCGTATTAGTTTATCTTGCTTCCGCAAGGAAATGCTTGTAAAACCAAAACGAGAAAAGGGAGAAATGTCCCCCCACTTAAATTGAGCCTGCAGTGGCAGGCTTTGAGTACAGATTATTGGTGTAAAACAAAAAAGTTTATGTATACAATTCTTCAGATACCAATCTGATCACTACTTACCTGAGGCAATGTGTAATTGATGTGTTCTGTTCCACATCAACTGAAAGATCAAGAAAATCTTCATCTTTGCTGCTAACCTGTGAAATTTTGTAGTTACAAAGTAAAATTATATTAAACTGTACTTGACTTTGGCAGTACGGGTGCTCAATATAAAAACAAGGAAATCATGCAAAACTTTACATATCTGATTAGATCAAAAGCTAGAGTATAGCGTAAGATTCTGGGAGCCACTCGAAGAATGGCGACTTGGCCTAAGAGAGGGTGCTTAGTGTTTCTGGGATGACAATATTACATTGCCTCCCTCATGCCGGGGTTAAGAATGGCTTGGTGCAACTGCAGGATATTCTGAAGAGGGAGTGATTGTGGTACAGTGGTATTAGTTAACAAAGATGATTTTTTTTTAAACAAAGTGATGAGGTCCTAAAAGCACAGTTTAGGGAGTTAGGGCATAATTTGAAAAGTAGGACCTAACAAGTTAGTAATCTCAGGATTACTAGCACTGCCACATGCTTGTGACAGTAGAAATAATAGGATATACCAGTTGGCAAATTGTTGGAATGCATTGAGGAAGTCACAATGGGACATTTACAAAGTTAAAACGCAATACATCAGAATCTGCATGGTTTTATGAAAGGTAAATTACGTTTGACCAATTTGCCAGAGTTCTTCAAAGATGTAACCAGAGTGGATAGTGGAGGCTTTGTCTACGATATCTGGTTTTCCAGGAGACATCTGAAAAGGTGCCGCACGAAAGTTTAATAAACGAGGCAGGATCACATGAAATTAGGGGTGATATATTAGCTGGTACCTAGGACTGACTAACCAACAGAAAGCAGGAAGTCGGCATAAATGGGTCTTTTCTGATTGGCAAGCTGTAACAAGGCTCAGTCCTCAGGCACCAACTATTTACAGCTTACATTAGTGGCATGTTACATCTTTGAAGAACATTGGAAAATTAGTCAAACACAATTTACACTCCATTAAACCATGCTGTACAAGACACTGGCAAGGCCACATTTGGAGTACTGTAGACAATCTGGTTGCCCTGCTATTGGAAGGATGTTATTAAACTAGAAAGCATACAAATGATTTACAAGCATGTTAACTAGATTGTAAGGTTTGAATTATAATGAGAGGCTGTATAGGCTGGGAGATTTTCCCCCGGAATGAGAAGGCTGAGGGTTGACCTTATTGAGGTTTATAAAATCATGAAGGACATAGATAAGGCGAATAGCCAAAGTCTTTCCCCAAAACTTAAGGTTTGAGAGGAATAATTTAAAAGGATCCTGAGGGGCCACTTTTTCCACAGAGGGTGGTGCTTATATGGAAAGTGCTGTCAGAGGAAGTGATAGAGGTGGGTACAATTGTAACATTTGGAAGATATTTAGAAGACATTTGAACAGATACACCGATAGTAAAGGTTTAGAAGGATATGGGCCAAATGCAGGCAAATGGGACTAGTTCAGTTTAGGAAACCTGGTTGGCATGGACGAGTTGGGTTGAAGGGCCTGTTTCCATGGTGTATAACTCTATAACTTGGATGAAGGGATAGAATGTATTACAGACGACACTAAAATAGATGGGAAAGTGAGTTGCAATGAAGAAATAAGAAATTTACAAATGGATATGGCAGGTGGAGTTTAATGTCAATGAGTGAGAGGTTATTTATTTTGGTCAGAAGACTAAAAAGGCAGCTTATTATTTAAATGGAAAAAAGCTTAAATGCTTCACTACAGAAGAATCTGGGCATCCTCATGCACAAGTCACAGAAAATTACTATGAGGTGTAACTGCATCTGGTTTTACTACGTACAGCTTTGGTCCCATTACTTGAGGAAGGATGTAACTCCGGTGAAGACTACGCAGAAGATTCACTAAATTAAATCCAGACATAAAAGGCTTGTTTCGAGGAGAGATTGGTCAATTTGGCCTATAGTTTAGAAGAATAAGAGGAGATCTAATTGGGGTATACAGGGTACTAAAGGTGATTTTGAAATCGACATACAGCTGATGTTTCTCCTTGTGGGGCAATCTAGAACAAGAAGTCATAGTTTTAGGCTAAGGATTGGCAGATTTGAAACAAAGATGAGGAGGAATTACTTTTCTCAAACAACCATAAATGCGTGGAATTCACTACTCCAATGTGGTGGATGCCAGGACACTGAATAAATTTGAGAAGGAGATATGATTTTAGTTAGTGATTGGTTAAAGCGTTATAGGGAGCAGACAGAAAAGGGGAGTCGAAACTGAAATCAGCCATGATCTTATTAAATGACAGAGCAGGCTGAAGGGGCTCAAATGCCTACTCCTGCTCTAGTTCTTGTGAATAGATGACTGCAGAAACGATGTAGGAGGGAAGGTTTCTGATTCCTAAGACATTGGGACCAGCTGTGGGAAAAATGGAATTTGTACAAGCTGGATGGGTTGCACTGTAACAGAAAGATGACCAGTATCCTTGCAGTGTCTTTTGCTTTGGAGGAGGGTTAATGTACAAAGGGTCTTCATGTCCCTATACACTGAAAGCAAGCATGCAGGTAAAGCACAGTTAGGAAGGCAAACGGTATGTTGGTTATTATTGCAAGAGGTATGAGTACAAAGTGTTTTACAGGTCTTTGTTGTGGCCATTCTTGGAGTAGTGTGCATAGTTTTGGTCTCCTTATCCAACAGAAGCATATATTACATTCCCTCTATGGCAAGAAGATTCATCAGACCAAGTCCTGCGAAGGCAGGTTTGTCATAGGAGGAGAGGTCGGGGCAACTGGGCCGTATTCACTCAAGTTTGGATGAAAGAGAAAAGGGATTTCATTGAAACAAAATTCTGACAAAGGATGGAAAGACTCGATGCACGGATGATTTTTACCAGACGATCCAGAACAAGGGGTCACGGTCTCAGGGTACACAGTAGGCCATTGCAAACTGAGGCAAGGAGAAATATCTTTACTCAGAGGGTGGTAAACCTGTGGACCTCTCAACTACAGAAATCTATGCAGGTCGATTCACTGCATATATGTTTAAGACGACAATAGATTTCTAGAGGAAAAACATGTCATGAGAGATAGGAGAAGATGGCACGAAGATAGAGGATCAGTGACGATCGCGTTGAAATGTGGAGTCGGCTCAGTGGCCTACTCTGAATTTTCTGTTTCCAGGTTTACTCAAATTCTGTACTACCAAATGACTAAAATTAGTACACAAGAAGACACAGACCAGAGTGGAGACGAAAAGAAAACAACACCTTTCTCCTCCCCTCTTCTCCAAGATGGAATGAAGCAACGAAGCAGTATTGAGAAACAGCCAATACGACAGCCGCAAAATGATCTTAAAAAAAAAACACTTTACATACCGTTTCGCAGTTCAGGCATCGTGTCTCATTAGTGAGTGTTCCTTGAAAGATCTCATGCACCCAGGTCGGTTCAGGCTTACTGTTCTCTTCTATTTCATTTGCATTTCCATTCTTCAACTTCCCATTCTGTTTCTCTTGCTTCTTTTCCTCCTGCAAGATGTCAGCGATGGTGTTCAATAGGTAGTTCAGAAACTCATGTGCATCTTGTTGCATGTAGTTATCAAACAAGTCTATGATTAAAAGGAAAATAAACATGACTAACTTTTGAAGGGCTTATAGTTTACAGAGCAAGAGAAAGTACTATTACAGTAATGTAGTAAGGACCTCATCACATGACCTTCCTTCCCCCATACCATATAAAAGACCTGACTTCATATACTGGTAGTGTAAAGTAAATTTTAATTTTCTATAATGATAAAAAGAAATCCTTTTCCCAATAAGTATGTTTGAGTGAAAAGTATGTATGACATGTTATGGAATAGGAACTACAAGTAAAAAATTGAGCCTTAAGATTCAGGTCTACATAGTCTATTCTAGCATTAACTGATCCACCCAGGTTAAAGCGATTAGAAAAATCAATCTGAAGATTTTTCACAAAGATAGCCCAATACATTTGCTTCAGTCTTTTTGCAAATCAATAATATCTTTTGTATGCTGGATTTTATACCATAAGCAATGTTAAGTTAATTTCTGTACTATTAGCGCTTGATTTTTTAAATTTGAAAATGCAATATGATAATGATATCAAGAAGTGTGTTTGGAGGAGTTATTGTGTTGCCAACACATTGATCGGCATGTTCATTAGCTTTCTTTCAAAAGAAGTGAGAAGCTTATGTTTCGATAACGTAATCATTCATTCACTTCAACAATCCACTGATAGAGAACCCAAGGGACTGAGGAATCAGTATTCAGTCCAGGGAGCAGCTTACTATGGGCAGACTACTACTACCTATTTTCTGCAATGTTGAAAATGCAAGACAAAAAGGAAGGTAAACCGCCAATGTTGAGTTTGCACCAAAAGACTACACTAGTCCCACTTTCCAGCACTTGGCACATAGCCTTGAGAATTATAACATTTCAAGTGCTTATCAAGTACTTGTCCAAAGGGAAAAAAAAATTTCAGCAGGTCTGGCAGCCTGCGTGGAGACAAAGAGTTAACAGTTTGTATCCAGTGACCCTTCTTCAGTACTGATTGTAGCTGTGTGTGCGCGCACGTGCATAGACAGTAAACAATAGGTGGAGATGGACTCCAGCGAGACAGAACAGCAATTGCATAGACAAAGAAATGGATAAAGGCCAACCTATGTAAAACATTAGTTGCTAATTGGGAGCATTAGTGGCTGACAACGGGCTGTTTGTGTTAGCAGCCCACGCGATGGCAATGTCTGGAGTGTGGGAAGAAAAACAGAAGTTGCTGGAAAAGCTCAGCAGGTCTGGTAGCATCTGTGAAGAAAAGAAAGAAAAAAAAAAAAGTTAACATTTCAGGTCCAGCGACCCTTCCTCAGGCCTGTTCTGGTTTTTATTCGAGAGTGGATGTGGGGCACGGATATTGGAGATAGTGCTCAGACCCCAAAAATGATTGAACTCTATATTCAATACTGAAGGTTGCAGGGTACCCAAGCAGAAAATGAGATACTGTTCTTACAGCTTGCGCTGAGCTTCACTGGAGACAACAGCAGACCCAAGACAGCGATGTTAGCCAGAAAACATGATTATGTTAAGTGGCAAGCAAAAAGGAAGCTCATGGTCATGTTTGTGACAGAAAGGGGCCTCAGTTATGCCTCTGTGGGGTACTTGGAACATTCCTTGTTCCAGTCCTACTTTGGCCTTCACCCACAATTCTTTCCCCAGTACAATAAGAACATTGGTGTTGCTTCCATCTCATCCAGATTTGAGAAAATTTATCAATTTCACTTCCAATTTCGGCCCTGCTATCAACTTCACCTGGTTGGTTGATCTGACTCCTCCCTTTCCTTCTTCCGATATTTGTTTCTATTTCTGGAGATAGGCTGGCCATCAATATACATGACAAGCTCACCGATTCCCACAGTTACCTGGATTATACATCCTCATACCTCACTTCCTTTAAACACTCCATTCTATTCTCCCAGTTTCTCCATCTCCATCGCATCTGTTCTGATGCCACCTTCTATAAGAGTGCCTCCAAAATGTCTACCTTTTTCCTCAACCAAGGAATTCCCCATTCTTCCACCCCTCATCCTCTCCTAGGGTCTGCAGAAGGGTCCCGACCCAAAACGTCAACTTTCCTGCTCCTCTGATGCTGCCTGGCCCGCTGTGCTCCTCCAGCTCCACACTGTTATGGGTCCAGCATTAGCAGTTCTTACTATCCCTTCATAGAGAAACTGCTCCATCCCAGGCAGTATCAAATACAAAGCTCATTTATGCTTTTGTTTCTTTTGTCAAGCTATTGCAATTGTTACATGCAGCAGTAATTATCATCCTTTGTTAGCTAGCTCAAACGGTAATCCAGTGCAAGAGTTAATTTGTACAACTCTGTAGAGTTATAACTGGACATAAACTGAATGAAGATGCCAAAAAACAAAACTGACTTTTCTTGAAATTTGCCACATTATCCAATTGCTGTGCTCGAGTGATGAATATCAATTATCTACAATATTGCACAGTATATTTCTTCTGATATGCAACAACTGTTTTTGTGTTGGACAGGAAGATATCTAAATGTTTTGACTAAACAAAACTAGAGGATTTTCTTGAAATAGGCTAAAATGTCTACATGAATACTCGCATTATAAATCACACAATGTGTCTCTTAAAAACTTTGAAACGGATTAATTTGAGTCAGAAAGAAAAGCAAAACTTGCAGCAATAAAACATTCAAAGCAAATAAGTTCTCACTGCATTACTCACCATTCTCTTTACGTAGCCTAGAAATGAATTTCTTGGGAGGAATCACACCAACTTTTTTCTTCTGGGTGGCAATGCTATGGAACAGGTCTGCCAAACAGGTCAACAGATTTTCCTTCTTCTTCTGTTGTGCCTTGTATGCAAGTACATTTTCCCGAAATGGTCGACAGAAGTAGAGAGCTTGCAGCACAGAGTTACAATAGCAGGTGTTTCCAAACTAGCACAGTAAAAAGGACAGGGGGCATTTAGATAATTTGTTACAACCATTAAAAAGCAATAGTATTCCTCAAATAAAATACATTTTTCAGTCAACTTTAAAGTTGGAAATATTTGCTTAAAAAAGGTGATCAAGGATCCCACAAATTATTACATCACAAGTATACTTCATAACGTACTATAGTTGGAAGCCACAAGTTTTCAATACAACTGATTGCTTTGAAGTCACAGCTGACCAAAATCATATTGTACATAATTAGTTGGTAAAGAAATCTTCTTAACCAAAAATAATCAACTCTAAGTACCATCTATTATTGAATCACTGAACAATCTGACCAAACCTGCAAATTATATTTACCAAACTTGCAAAATTTCTGATCATTTTATCTTAGCAAGATTTTATTCTTAAACCAACAAGATACAGTAATGGTGTACAAAGCCAATCACTGCATATGCTGGAAATCTGAAGTCTGGCCCCCTCTTCAGACAGTATTTGATTGTGATTATGGTATATTTTTGAATCTCCTCTGGCCCCAACTTTTGTTTCTTCATTTATCCCACAGCCATCTCCTTTTGTCTTGTACCTTTGCTATTTAAATGTCTCCCGCTTTCCTCTCCCATCAAATTTCCTCCTCCTTTTTCCTGCCTTTGTAGTTGCTTAGCATTTGTTACATTTCTAACATTTTGAAAAAGCCATCATTCAACCTTAAACGGTGCTACATAACCTGCTGAGCACGTCCGATATTTTCTGCAAGATTAATGGAAAGTGGCCTGGTACATGTAAATTTAGTCTTTATTCAGAAAAATAGCTAAATCTGTTATTTACTGTGTGACAAGTATTCTGGTGTAACACAGCCATCTTTCAACATGGTATTAAAACACCACAGGTCCCAAGCATAGTAAATATCAACTGGTAAATTTGTTTCTTTGTTCATTTTCATGGGATGCATACGTTACTGGCAAGGCCAGCATTTGCTGTCCATCCACAAATGCCTTAGTAACGAAAAGCTTCCCACACATTTTGGAGTGCACATAAGAATTAACCACATTAAAGGAAGCTGGAGTTACATGTTAGTCCTGTTAAGGATGGCAAACTTCCTTTCCCAAAAAGGGCTTAGACAACAATTGCTGACAGTTTTGTAGCCACCATTTCTGAAACTAGCTTTCAATTTCAGATTTTCATCATCTAAATTTAAAAACTTACCAACTGTTTTAATGGATACCCTCAGAGCAATAATCAGCTTGTTTAGATTATTGGTCCAGCCCCATCTCCCCCTGTTTTATAGGATGAAACACTAGAGAATACAGTATCTACTAGATTGCACAGATAAGGTTAGTACAATCTGACAGAAATCAACTGATCAGCTCAAAAGACTGAGAAATCAAATCAAAGACCACACAATTACTTGTAATTAAAAAGTTCAATTTACTTGAGAAAACTAAAAACATTTAGCTCACCCGTTGTTTTAATGTGATGGCTGAGGTTTTATCGCCTTAGTAAGCCTTCCAATATCTACTAGCAAAGATTTTGCTACTCACAACTGTCATTTCAAATTCTCATGTTAACCTGAAACACAGGCAGTTCTTTGCCAGGGTAAGTTTTAAAAAGAATTCAGAACAGTGATGCAATTCTCAAGTCTCCAAGTTTGGAAAGTCAGTGGCACCTACATCAAGTCTACAGAACTCTGGCAGAGATGGGTTACAGTATGTGACCTTCCTGCTGGGACAAAAATATTTAATTCCAGTTCTTCCATTTTTAGGTCTTGGAGTTGCATGCAAAATTTCTGAAGTACGTTTGCACACTTCTGGCATACTCCCGATGTTATAAGCTCTCGTCTCTGAAGGGTAGGAAAATACACTGTGTTCCCCTTTTGCCGCATTTGCCTAAGCATTAATTTGGCTTCAAATTATTCCACATTTAAAGAAAGAACCTGGTTAGGCCCTTGCAATTTGACACTGAACTCAAACAGACACGATATGATGTTGACCATGAATACACAGTCACCTTTGCTCAGTCCCAGGCTCTCTTCCTCTGAAAATTTTCACTTCATTCCGGAGTTCATAAAATTGCTTCAACATACTCCCTCGGGTGAACCATTCCACTTCACAATGGCGAATCAACAAACTCTAATTCAAGGTCTTTTGGTAATGCTTTAAACTGGGGACTGTTTAAAGTTTTGTTTACTTGAAAGTTAATGCTTGATACTCCTTCCAACATTATGTATGCACACAATGTATGTTGATGAGTAAAGCAGTGACACAATAAAATAACTCAAGATCAAGGTTGAGGCTATTCATTTCCTAATTCATTACAGCAGCTAAACTCATCCGAGACCTAAGCATTGTTGGAGCTCCAAGAACGACCACCTGATTTTCTCAAGTGAAAACAGAAACCCATGCACTGACGTAATCATTAAAATAACACAGCATTTTGTGCATCATGCACTGCTGTTAAAAAGTAAGCAAATGCCCTCACATCTCCAAATCTGTGATTCCATGTTCATCAGTTGGTCTATACTTAACATAAAACAGTACAACACAGGGACAGGCCCTTCACAATGCCAACCACAATGTCATCATTTCTTAATCTGTTGTCTCATTAAACAGCCAGAGAGTAGAATTTGAAATCAGCCCCAAAATCTTTCAGAAATGTTTCAATGTCTCAAAATGGTCCTGAAAGTGAAGCTCACACTAAAATAATGCACGTTTCTCTGCAGCCAGTAAATCTGAGCTCACAATGATGCACATCTTCACAAACTCTCCCCCTGAACTTAAGGTCTCCATTCTTTTGCAATGTGTGCAATTACTACAACTGGCTTGACAAATATACTGGACCTCATTACAGCCTTGATTTAAAGGTGAACAAAAGAGCTGAACTCTACAGACAAAGGTGAGAATGACTGCCTTTGACATCAAGGTCACATGTGATCAAAGTCCAAAGCAAAATTGGAGTCAATGTGGATCAGACAGATAACCCTACACTGGTTGGAATCATTCCGGACACAAAGGACAAGGGAAGATAGTTCTGGTTGTTGTAGATCAGTCATTCCAGCTTTAGGACAGTCTTGCAGGAGTTCTTCAAGGTAGTGTCTTAGGCCCAACCATCTTCAGCCCCTTCATCAATGACCATCCTTCCATCATAAAGTGAGAAATGAGGATGTTCACTGATTGTAGGGTATTAAGCACAATTCAAGACTCCTCAGATATTGAAGAAATCTGTGTCCAAATGAAGCAAGATCTGGACAATATCCAGGTTTGAGCTGACAAGTGGCAAGTAACACAGGCCAAACAATGACTACAGATTTTTAGAATAGACCGTAAAATGTAGAATTAGGCCACTTGGCGCATTGAGTCTGCTCCACCATTTGATCATGGCTAGTATGTTCCTCAAAGCAAATTTCCTGGTTTCTCCTTGTAACACTTGATCCCCTTACTGATCAAGAACCTATCAATGTCTTAAATACACTGAATAATTTGGCCTCCACAATCCTGTGTGGCAAGGAGTACCACCGATTCATCACCCTCTGGCTGAAGAAACTCCTCATCTCAGTTCTAAAGGGTCATCCTCTCACTCGGAGGCTGTGCCCTAAAGTCTTAGTCTCTCCTACTAGTGGAAACATTTGCTCCATGTCCATTCTATTCAGGCCTGTCAGTACTCTGTAATGAGATCCCTCCCTCCCATCCTTCTAAACTATCGAGTCCAGACCCAGAGTCTTCAAATTGTTCTTCATATGACAAGCTCTTCAACACTGGGATCCTTCTTGGAAACCTCTTCTAGGCCCCCTCCAAGGTCAGCACATCCTTCCTTAGATACAGGGCCCAAAACTCTAATATTCCAAACGCAATTTGATCAGAGCTTTATATAGCCTCAGCAGTACATTTTAGCTCTTGCATTCTAGACCTCTTGAAATGAATGCCAACACTGCATTTTTCCTTCCTAATTGCCAACTGAAACTGCATGTTAAACTTAGGAGCCCTAGTTCAGCATTCTTTTTAATACTGTGTGCTTCAGATATCTGAGGCCTTTCCCCAATTAGAAAAGTCTATTCCTCTATTCTTCCTACCAAAGTGCATAACCTCAGAATTTTGCAGTATAGAATTTTGGATGTTTACAATAGGAGGCCATTCAATCCATCGTGTCTCTATTGGCTCCCAAAAGAGCTAACCAGCTAGTCCAATTCTCCAGCGCTATCTCCATAGTCCTCTAAATTCATAACTTAGAAATCTGCGTTCAGCTCTCTTTTGAAACCTCCGACAGAATCCACTTCCACCAAACCCCCAGGCGGTGCATTCCAAATCCTAACAACTCCGCGTAAAGAAGTTTGTCCTCATCTCACTCCTAACTCACTTGCTGACAGTGTTGAAGTTGTGATACCTAGTTACTGACATATCAACTAGTGGAAACAAATATTCTTCTTAACCTCTAAATCTTCTCTGTTACAAAGAAAATAAGCCCAATTTCTTACATCTCTCCTTGTATCCAAAATCCCTCATTCTTTGCATCATTCTAGTAAATCGCCTTTGCACTCTCTCCAGGACTTTAATACCCTTCCTTAAAGAAGGTCCATAGAACTGAAGACAATATTCCAAATCTGGTCTGACTACTGCTTTGTAGAGGTATTGCATCACTTCCTTGCTTTTAATGTTCTATACCTCTATTTATAAACCCAAGGAGCCTACAGACCTTCTCATAACTGTTAGAATTTGCCCTAATAACTGAGAATTATACGTGTGAACAGAGGTCCTCTGCTCCCGTACTCCCTCAAAGTTATATCCTTGAGCCTGTATTGTCTCTCCATATTTCTTCTACCAAAATGCATAACCTCATTTCTTTGCATTGAAATTCATCTGCCAGGTGTCTGCACATTTGGCCAACTTGTCAATGTCCCTCTGAATCCTCACAATTCACTACTCTCCCTACCTTACCATCTGCAGATTGAGATTTTTGCTCTCAACACCAGTCTAAGTAGTTTACGTATATCAGAAAAAGTAGGGTCCGAA